TTGGGTTTCCGAGGCAGTATCACTACGGAAGTAGGATTGCCCAACCTTCTTTCCGAGGAGTGGCTGGTGGGTTTGAACCGCCAGCTGTCTGGTTAGCAGGCAAGTGTCTTAGCCACTATGCTACCAGAGCTCCCTGTTCATAGAGATAATGTTCTTCAAAGGGAGATCCTGCCTTTGGTTATCAGAACAATTTTCATTCTAGGAAGTGGATTAAATAGCCTAGAGCAACATGGGAAGGATAATTGTTATCAATTTAACAGGTTTCACTGCAGCTTCAAGGAAGCAGAAAATTACTGTAAGTGGATACCTTGCTTACACTTGGAACCAGGAGGTTCTTGATCTCATCTGGGACTTTCTGGAAGAAGGGACAAGGTGGTGGATTGGACCGAATTTAACACTATTGAGAAAGCATCAACAAAGCCACCCAGGTAAGGCTCCTTACTTCCTTACTTTTATTGTTCCTGTCTATAAAAGGAGAGCTGATGGTGTGGTAGTTAAAGCATTTGGCTGCTAACCAAAAGGTCAGAGGTTCTAACCCACTAGCCATCACCCAGGAGAAAGATGAGGCAGTCTGCTTTTGTAAAGATGGATAGCCTTGGAAACCCATGGGTCTATTCTGCTCTGTCCTATAGGGTAACTAGGAATCTGAATCAACTCAATGGCAGTGGGTTTTTTTGTTGTTGTTTTTAATTTTTATTGTGATTTGAGTGAAGGTTTACAGAGTAAATTCAGTTTCCATGTAGCAGTTCATACACATTTTCCTTCATGACGTTGACTGCAGTTCCCCACAGTATAACAGCTCTCTTCCCACTTCCTCCCTATAGTTGCCTTTTCCCTGTGTCCTTCTCTCCTATCAATGGGATTGTTTTTGTGAACAGAAAATGCAGTCACTTCACCACCATCATTCCTCTGAAATGATTCCATCTTTGTGCTACAGCCTTTGCATCTTCGTAGCAAAGGTAATGAGATCTTTCTCAAATGAGATTTTTTGATCTCAAGTTAACTTGCTTACTATTTCACTAAAAATATTGGGGAAGATTCTGAAGAGAGAAGCCATTTATGGTAACTTTTTTCCCCCACTAGATAAACATCTCTTCATTATCCTCAGCTCTAAATTTCCTACTAAGAGAAATTATCTGCCTACTGTCTCTCTTACATAGATATTTTCAAAATATGCAACATAATCTTTGAGGTCTTAGAGAAAAATCCAAGGAAGCATTATTATATCATTGTCATATTTCTTAAAGTCCAGGTGAATTAATAGTATAAGCCTTACAATAAAGAACACGTAATGTGAAAAATGAACAATCTATAATATGTGGGGGGAAATCCTAAATCCTAATTTTTTTTTTAATCTAATGGAAGCTATCAAAATTTGGTTTTCAGACTGCTTTTTAGAAACAGCTGACTTTTTTTTTTTTAAAGGAGTATTTAGGTTATTTATTACTGTGCACCAGGCCACCCTAAAATGCAGTGGCTTAAAACAACCATTTGATTATTTTCCACATTGCTGTAGATGAAGAAATTGGGCAAGGCACAGTGGAAATGGTTATCTTGTGTCTGTTCCTCATGGTGTCTCTGAGTGACTGGGGCGTCCAAAGTAGCTTCTTCACTCACATGTCTTGTGCCTGAGCTGGGAGAGTTCAGACAGCTGGGGACAGGCTGGAGCAGCTCCACTGGGCTCATGTCTGGAACTTCAGTTCCAGTTGTCAGCTGGACTTCTTGGTTTTCTTCCATTGTATTCTTAGGGTCTGTCTCCATGTGTAAGAACAGCTGACTTTTGAGTGTGAAGCTTGTCAGGGTGTTGTCTCCCTTCAGCAGCTGTTGCAGCACACCAGGCCACAAAGCCCACCGGCTGCGCCTGCATGTCCAGAAACTCCAGTTGGATCTCATCAAAAGCAGAGCCCTGCTTCTTGGGGCATTATTTCATTTGCCAGGCCGGTAAGTGATAAAACTACATGCTGACAAAGACCTAAATTTTGAAACTGGTTCTAAATAAGGAGAACACGTGGGAGTGTTAAATGATCTGTGACTGATGATGCATCATAGGGTGGGTAAAGGGATTTTGATTTTTATTATATTGATTGGAGTGATAAACTGTTCATTTGAAGTGCCTTCCATATTGCATCCCACTTTTCATCTCACACCTCCACTCCGGTAGTTGGAAAAGTACTATGCCTTGATGTTACCATCATGTCTTAACTTGGGTGGGGTGCAGGAAAAATTATGTTAGTAATCACCATTATCCACCTGTACATAAACGTAATCCATCCAAATCACAATGAAAAAGTTTTAAAGAAGAAAAAAATTATCGCTATAGAAAATAAAATGTTTGCATAGGAGACACCCTTGGACAGAAAGAATTCTGTTCAGTTAATCTGAGCCAGTTCTACAAACTCTGAACCTACGTTCCCAAAATGAGAGGAAGCATTAACCATGGTCAAGAGCTCTGGCTCTAGAGTCAGACTTCCTGGGTTCAAATCTTGATTCTGTGACTTTCCAGTAGTGGCACCTTAGGCAAGCCACTTAAACTCTATAC